CTGACGATACCGACTACGATGCCGGCGAAACGTCTGGGAATGTACCACGTCCACGGTCCTACTCTGGAAAAGTTGATGCATACGATGGACCCCGTACTAGGTGCGTTCCCCTAAATCTTTCTACCAATATAACCGAGTTGCGAAAACAAGGTCAAGCAACTTCGAAAGATGAATTAGTTTGGCTACAAAAGTTTATGGCTCCATACAAACCCTCCTAATTAGTAACTTTGTAAGCCGAAGGAGTGCAGGCGTCTAAAAGATAAGCCAAATGTGTCCTGGGGATACCACATTAAATGCAAGCCGAAGGAGAGTGGAAGAATTCAAAAAGGATAGAGAAATCATTTCGGAAGTCAGATGGCTTGGTGCGAGATCTTGAATAGTTATTTTGTATTGTCGCGATTATGGAAAATTAACATCATGTAAAAATTAAACAAATCAACATTTTGTCGATTTGTGCAAATAAGTCCTCGTCTCACCCTCCCGCGACCCCAATCAATCCATGCTGAACTTTCGTCCATCAGAGTAGGACACCATGAGTTACTATAATTCACCGAGCACGAAAACAGCAATCGCAGCCCTAAGGAAATCTAAGTTTCTCCTCATAATGTAAATGTAGTGCAAGGACTGCGAAAAACCTCTTTCAAAACAAAAATAAAGCCCTCAGATATACGAAAAGCGTACAAACTATCAGATCTCCCCGTGGGCCAATGATTATAAATGACTATAATGCCAAAAAACGGAGTCTTTATTGGAAGATCCTTCGAGAAACAAGTCTTTCGAGAACGGCATGAGTGAAGCCAACCTGAAAAAGAGATGCTAATTACTTTCTAGTCTGAGGGCGTTATACACAGGTATGACCAAAACCGAAAAAGGTAAATATATAACCAATACAAGCCAACACTATAAGGCTAAAGGAGACTGCTACCAAATAGAAGGCCACACCATCTTGGTCTTCATATCTACGATCTAAATATATGACTTTCAATAAAAGGAGGTTTCCCTTAACTTTGTCAATGATAAAAGGAGTTCATTGCGAATAGTATTGGTTCTACCCCGTTTTCCTAACTTGGTCGGAGAGTCAGTGAGACCTTGTGGAACGTACTTAGCCCTGTGCCCTAAGCTATAGTATTCGTGATGTCCAGCACCAGTGCCGAGTTTTTGTGACAGTTGTGATTATCCGTCTCCTTAGACACAAGATAGCCAGGCCCCCAAAGTTGTAGTTGCTTCTTCGAGCATAGTACACTCACTGAGAGCGTGCTCGCCTTATTTCTAAAACTTCATCACCCTCTTCTTCATTGCCATCCCTTTTTCTCAGGTTTACAAAAGATCCTTGATCTAGGCGTCTCCTTTTTGCTTGTTTTGTTGTAACCTTGTTTTCTCCGAGTTAGCTTAAGTAATATGCAAAATTATCGCAAACTTTGCATTCTTCCAATCTCCTGTTCATTAATTTTTTCCCCCAAGGATGTTAATGGCCCCTCTAATCTTCCGTTTATTTGCATTTTCACCATATGAGGCCGTCTTTCTGTTGCCTTTTAAGTTATCTCGTGTCCAAGTCCACCCAACATTATGTAGCTAAAGTAGACTGCGATCAAACAAAAGGCCACATCATCTTGGTCTTCATAGCTACGAACTATGGAGTAAGGTTTGGAAGTGCCTGTCATCCACTTCCTGTAACTTGAAGTAATTGGAATTATGCGGTTTGTTAAGTAGCAAGTACAATTGCATATAGAAAACTCAGGTTCCACCGAAGGTAACCCTCAAATAAAGTATTTTAGAATAAAATTCGAAGCAGAATTTCTTTAAAAATCAAAATATCTCCCATCATTTATTGTTATTGGATTAATTCCAATGCTTTGAGACTTACAGAGTAAGGTATGACAATAATGTACTTAATAGAAGTAAGCTCATTTACAATGCACGTATGGAACTTTTCGTAGTATCCGAATTAGATGCGGAATAACTAGTGTTGTGCTTTTGGTAGATGGGATTGGTGGGGAAAATATAAATCTGAAAGTTTATCCAATTACAGAAAAAGACCGGACCACTTTACCTGACTATCAGATTGCTGTCGTTAGTGTGACAGCCTTCGAAAAAAGTATATAGAAAACTATCAGACAATTCTCAGCTAGTAAATCATCTTGGAGGACAACCGATCACCTACAAGAATTTCCCAGACTTCCGAAGGACACAAAATAAATCTAGGAAATCCGAGAAGTGAAGAATATGCTTACATATAAACAGTTATGGTCAGAGTGAAAATCCAGGCTACTTACAGAGGGAAGGAATCAACTTAATTTGAATGAATAACAAACTTTTTAATGTGCCTTCATTTTTAAACATCAATATTTATTAAATGTCATTGTTATGGGAATTAGATCTCATATTAATAATACAGCGAAAGGTATTAAATGAAATCAACCTTGGAAATGAATGGTGTTTTAAACTTACCAGTAAAAGGATATACGGTAGGTTAACCAAACGCCTCGAAACAGCCTCTTCGCTCAAATACCACAACAATGATAACAGCCCAAATGCGATACCAAAAAGTTGCCCCAAAATAGGAAGCCAGCAGGGCTAAAAAGTGTTTTGATAAGAGTGAAAAAAATATGGATCTTAAAATCATAAAGTAAGAAAGTGACAATAAAAGACAATAATAAGGAGTCAAGTAGAGAAGTAAACTGAAGACTTGTAGTAAAAATTCCATTTCCTAAATGATTTTTGAGTTAAGCCGCAATTAAAGTAAAGATTTGACCAAGAAAATGCTGAAAAAAAGAGAGCGATTTGGTTCGATTTTCAATTAAGATTATCTAAAATTATATCCGAAATTAAAAGATAAGTAATTAATCATAAATATGACTTGGATTTATGACATGCACCGTTAAAATAGGTTATAATCACCCGGATTTAATCAGGAACTTATGAATTATTGAAATTTAGGTCGAGTGTCCAGAGGCAAGCGAGTTGTGAAATCACTGTGCGAACAAGAGCTAATAAATTAATTAGAGTTTTATTTACAGCACAGAAAGATAGCCCAACTGGAGAAGAGAAAATTTGCTAAGTAGAAAGTGGGAGTAATAAATGATGTTGAGTTAAGAAAATCCATGGCATACAGCTCGAATATAAAAAAACAAGCCTAGCTAATAATAGTATCCAACAGGTGCTTTTTCCTTAAATTTGTACTCTTAATATTTGAGAAAATAAGGTTCGCAAGGGACTGGTAGAAAGTTATAATGGAGATGGAATAAGATCTTTTATTTCCATCATTAGACGAAAGTACAACACTAATCAGCTAGTCTATAATTTAGAAGGAATATTCGAGAGGAGCTGTGCGATTCGCTATACGACTCAGACGCCAGGTTAGATGCGATGCTCTAAATCAGAAAGCTGATATAACTTTCTAAATATAGCATTTTCTAGTGTAATTATATTTTTTTGTTCTAGGATTCACAAAGTATATGACTGAAAACTGTACAGTCGAGCCTTCTTGGTCAATGGTCAATAAGACTGTCAAGTGAATCCGAATTTATTGTAATATTTTAGCATCCTTCTATTGTTTTTTCGTAAGAAGACCGGAGTTAAATAAAATGTGTTTTATGATAAGAATCAAACATTAGACCTAAAATCCGAAGAAATTTATTCAAAAATATGATTACACTACAGTGAAGAGATTTCCCACTTCTACCATGGGAACGAAGTTCTATACAAAGCAAACATGTAACGATGGAAATTTATCTCTAAAATAGGATTTCCACGGTGGTTTTTGACCAGAAAACAGGATATTTTTAAAGTTTCTCCACCTTTGTGGCTATCAAGGTGATTTTGCCACTAGCCTTTGGCAGATGAATATAAACTCAAATACTAAGAGTATTAAATACTACTTAATATTCTTAGAAAGTAGTAGACTAGTTATGTATTCACTTTGTCTGGACTTACCCTGTACTTATTACGGGAAAAAACCCCGATTCGGCCCGACAGCCAGAGCTCGAACGCTGCGCCCCAGCAATAGACGGCGCAATAGCCAGGCAGGGAAGCAAGCCCTTCTGCATTCGCTAGCCAGAATGATTTGCTCCGGAATGTTGGGTCGGAGACGAAGAGAGATTGATTATCATGACGATGATCAGGTAGGGCAAGCTTACGCTGCAAGCTAAAACCATATTTTTCTAATCCTAGGAACACTTGCAGCGCTGTTGTTATGATTGCTGCATGTAAAACAAATTTTAGTAGGACACGAGATCTAGTAAAGCTCAAGTTTGTAACTCTGCTTTCCGAGTAAAGGGAATAGAAGAGAAAAAGAAGAAATCCAAAAATCTGTAAAAGTAAGGAACAGAGCTTGAGGATAAAATCGGGAAGTAGAGAAAGACTCTGCAAAGAATTCGGATGATAACGATAAATTTAAAGAAGTATCTTTACTGGCTTACCCTTAATAAGGCCAGAGTGTACAAGAAGTTCCAATGAACACCATACTCAGTCACGTGTTCTTGATAGCCGATCATTTTCAGAAGAACGGATCGAAGCATACCAAGTGAGGCAATAGGAATAAACGACTTCAGAAAGAATTTAAACTGCAATAGAATACTGGAATGAAAAGAAAGCCGTATAGCACCAACAGAGCCAGTATTTAAGGCAAAGAGGCCAACTCCAACATCCA